GGTGCCCTTCTCCAGCCCGGAGTGAGACGTGGCCTCCCGATCAGCAGGCTTCATCCGTGTAATTTCCTTTTTGCAGGACTCCTGGCCGGGTTTTTGTGCCGCTCTCCCTGTGCACAGCAGGGCAGCGCCGCATTCAGTGCCTGCCCTAAATAACCATCGCCCTGCCTATGCATAAGCAGTCTGCTGCGCCTCGGGGGTGAGCGGCCTTGGAAATAGAAGTGCCTCCAACAAGACTGCATGTGGCTTTGGCAGAAACCCTTTCCCTGGGCAGTGGATGCCTTCCTGCGTGATTTCTGGGTCTAACAAATGGCAGGGTCCAGTGGGCAGCTGGATGGGACAAAGCAGCGGTGTGGCATCCTGCCTACAATGAGAAGGACTGTTTCAGAGGTGTAAGGGATGGGCAAGAGGTGACGAGGAGATGGGCATCTTCACAGGCAGCATGTTGACCTGCTGCATTTCTTTGCCTGCCATGACTTTCTGGCCTGTGTGATCACAGTAAAAGCCTGCATTTAAAATTAATGATGGGGAATGCTTTCCTCACAGGCTTCAGAAAGAGGCAAAAAATTCCCACAAAGTAACATCCTGCCAGAATGAAGGCAAAAAAAAAGCTGGAGAGGTGCAGGAAAAGTTATGAAGTTGTGATGGAGGTGCATTTTCCTGTGCAGGACTGCAGAGGCTCGCTGGTGTTTCCCATCCTGCTCTCCTGGGAGGGGGCTTTCACACGATCACAGAGTGGTTTGAGTTGGAAGGGATCTTAAAGATCGCCCTGTCCAACCTCCCTGCCATGGGCAGGGTCATCTCCCACTAGACCAGATTGCTCCAAGCCCCGTCCAACCTGGCCTTGAACACCTCCAGGGATAGGGCACCCACAGCTTCTCTGGGCAACCTGCACCAGGGGCTCACCACCCTCATGGTACAACATTTCTTCCCCATGTCCATCCTAACCCCACCCTCGGTCAGTTTAGAACCGCTGCCCCTTGTCCTGTCCCTGCAGGCGCTGGTCAAAAGTCTCTCTCCCTCTTTCCTATAACCCCCTCTGAGTACTGAGCTGTCGCAGTAAGGTCTGTGCATGGAGCTGTCTCTTTTCCTGGCTGCACAACCCCAACTCTCTCAGCCTTTCTCCAGAGCAGAGGTGTTCCAGCCCTCGGAGCATTTTGCTGGCTTCCTCTGGCCCGTCTCCCCCAGGTCCACGCCTGCCTTGTGCTGGGGACCCCAGGGCTGGAGGTGGTGCTGCAGTGCAGTGTGAGGAGAGCGGAGCAGAGGGGGAGCATCCCCTCCCTCTTGCTGTTGGCCACGCTGCTGGGGATGCAGCCCAGGAGACGCTTGGTTTTGTGGGCTGTGAGTGCACATTGCCATCTGATGTCCCATTTGTCATCCACCCGTCTCCCCCAGTCCTTCTCCACAGGGCTCTCTCAGCCCCCTCTCCTTTGACCGCTTCCTGTGGATGCCGCCCTGTTGGGTGCGTGCCAAGGGGCTGCAGCCTGGACACGTGTGCCCTGACAGTGCTGCCATCTGCCCCCTGCACTGTGGGGTAAACCTCTGGAAAGGACGATGTCCTGGGCTGTGTGCCATGAGATGCAGGGACAAGCCAGGCTGTCCATGGCTAGTGCTGGGGATGGGTCAGGTGATGGGCAGCTGCCCGAGGCACACAGCTGAAGTCAGCAGAGCTGGAAGAAGCACAGAGAAGGACTGGGACAGCGGGTGCAGGAGGTCAGATGGCATAACAGCCCCATTTATTCTGAGAAATCTCCCTGGAACACAATCTACCTCCAGCAGCCTAACAATTGCACTGAGCTAATGAAGAAGACACCCCACAGCTGAAAGCCCACGTGTGGAGACCACGGGCTGTCAGGGATGTCCTTGTCACTGGCATGGAGCAGTGGGAAGGAGGATGCTGTGACCTGGGCGTGCATGTGTCCAGGACTGGTGTTTGCATTGTTGGCTGCATCTTCCATCACTTGTGACATGTGTCCCCAAGATCTGTTGGAATTATGTATTTCTGAGGTCCTTGGGAAAAAAAGTAGGTGGGAGTTTGGGACTCCTCATTCCATTTGGGGTTATGCCAGCACAAGGCAGCCAGAAACTGTGCCCATTTGCGTGCACTGGCAAAATGTCTTTCAATCCGTGCAGGAGTTAAGGGTGCTCTAACTGTCCGTCTGATGGGCTCTGAGTACCACCCATCTTAATCGAAGGCAGTTGATGCTTAATATCAAGCACGGCACAAACCAAGCAGGATTTCTAGTGGTGTGTAAACTGAGATGTTGGTAGCTACATCCACATGGCAAACACCCATCCATACAGACGTCCTTCCTAGCTTTAGGAGATGATGCTTTTTAACCTCGATGGTGAGCGCTCCTGCTCAGCTGCACCTGTGGTGCTCCAGGAGTGATGGAGCAGGTGTAGGCATTGCTCTGGGTCTATTTGTGGACCCCAGACAGCCCTTTGCTTACAGCTGGCGGAGGCCGTGCTGATGAAGCAGGGCTCTTTCACAGGCAAATGAATGACATGCTCAGCAGCGGAGCTGGGACTTCAAGGTGACAGCCGTTACTTTGCTAAGGCGGGTTTTGAGCAAGTCTGGAGCCACAATGGCAGGGGACGGGGGGCAGAGAGGGCGCAGGTCCCTCCAGCCTGGCTGCCTGGTGGCATCGGGGTGCAGGCCGATGGGTGACAGAACCCATGGCCAAATCCTACTTCTGGCCCTGGGGCTGCGTGGGTGCTGCTGGATGTGGCCGTGCATCCAGCTCTGCACTGAGCCTGAGTCATGCTCCGGCTCTCGGTGCTGGGCTGTGACCACTGGCAAGGACCTGCCTCTGCTCCCCGGTGCGAGAGCAAACTGACTAATTTTTAAAACAAAAAGCTTCAGGGAAGAAGCTGGGCCCTGCCTGTCACAAAGGACATTGCCTTCTGCAGAGAGTGTGCAGAGCTCTCTGCAAGTCCAGACAGGCACAGGCATGCAATCACAGCCCAGAAAGCCCCCGGCATCCCGGGCTGCATTCCCAGCAGTGTGGCCAGCAGGGCGAGGGGGGAGATTGTGCCCCTCTGCTGCGCTCTGGGGAGACCCCCCTGCAGTGCTGCCTCCAGCTCAGGTGGTCCCAACAGCAGAAGGACACAGACCTGTTGGAGCGGGGCCAGAGGAGGCTACAGAGATGCTGCGAGGGCTGGAGCCCCTCTACTGGGAGAGTTGGGGGGGTGGGTCAGCCTGCAGAAGAGAAGGCTCTGGGAAGACCTTACGGTGGCCACTCAATACTTAAAGGGGGCTTATAGGAAAGATGGGGACAGAGTTTTTAGTAGGGCCTGTTGTGATAGGACAAGGGGTCATGGCTTTAATGTAAAAGAGGGAAAATTCAGACTAGATATAAGGAAGACATTTTTTACACTGAGGATAGTGAGCCCCTGGCCCAGGTTGCCCAGAGAGGTGGTGGCTGCCCCATCCCTGGAAACATTCAGGGCCAGGTTGGATGCGGCTCTGAGCAACCTGGTCTAGTTGAAGATGTCCCTGCACATTGCAGGGCGGTTGCACTAGATGGCCTTTAAAGGTCCCTTCCAACCCAAACTATTCCATGATTCTATGTTTCTGTGCCTGTGCAGGCAGGGGGCCACTGACCTCTCTCCTGGTCCATATTCCCAGCACGATGGTGTATTTTTAGCAACGTGGGGAAGTCAAAGCAGGAGAAAGCTCTAGGTGCTCATCCACAGGTTGATCTCGCCCAGGTCCATCAAAATCTAAATGCATCAACCATTCCTGGGCTGGCAGCCCCTGCTGTGCCCCAGCTTCACTGTGCAGGCAGCTCCTGCCTACTGAGCCCTGGTGTGGGGCCTGGCTATGGCCCAAATTCTGAATTCCTGGCTTCAGGGAACCTTTCTTCTTTGTTCCCAGAGAGTGATGAGTCAGGGCAGCAATGTGCCTGGTTTTCCTTGTCAAGGTGAGATTTTCCCTTGAATTGTGGTAGCTCTCGAGTCTCCAGGTCTTGGATAAGCCATTTGTAAAGTGGTTACCAAAGCAAAGGGTGCCACAAGCAGGGGCGAGGCTGAAAGCTGTGGTCTCCTCTGAGTGACTCCATCCAAATCAGTCACCCTAGGTTGAAAAGCCAATTTTAGGGAGAGGGGTAGGTATTTCATCTCACTTATTTCAAGGTAAGAGGCATCTCTCTGGAGACTGTATTGGCTAAGTGCAAAGGGGCCACGGGGTGATGTGTAACCGTCTGCAAAATGTGGGACAGTTACAAGATGGGCAGAGACAATCCTCTCTCTTAAATCTTCATCCCATGGGCTCCTTCTCTCTAGTGAAGATGGAGTAAGAAGAAACTTTTCCACCCCATTAATTTTCCATTTCCCTCCATCATGTATCTGCTTTGGATAATAATCTTTTAAATGTCTCTTTATACAAAGGACTGTAATTTTTCCTTCCCCTGCGAGCTCATGTCCTCTGCCTCAGTGGGATGGGAGGTGTTTTTGTCTCTGGTGACAGTGACACACACACTGCTGCAGACAAGGACAACCCCTCATTTGCTTCCTGTGGCTTTACTAGTTGTATTTTCTGTTCTCTCCCATCTTTCCTGCACTCCACAGCATCCCTCGTGCTTTCCTATCGCAGCATCCCATGTGTTTTCCCATCACTGCTGTTAGCAGAGCTGTTGTGCTCACACACAGCTGAGTGTAGCTCATTAAGTTCGCCCCTCCACTCTGTAAATGCGAGTCTTTGTAAATGTTAGTCTTGTTCTGCGCTTGCCATGGGAGGCCACGTGGTGTGGCAGCTGGCTGCGGTGGTGTTTAGTGTTGTGCTTCTACTGCTGGAGCTGGTGACCGTAGTGCACTCTTGGTGTCTGTAGTGCTCTGGTGTGGAAGCGACCAGCACATCCCATGCTCTGGCTGGTGTTTGTCCCAGCTCCTGGGAGCAAGTGAGCAAAGGAGAAGGGGAAGATGCCCTTGAGGAGCTCCTGAAATGGAGCTGCAAACTGTGCAGGAAGCACTTGTTGATGCCTCTCTCTGTGTCATTGCAGGCGAAGGACAGTGACGATGATGATGAAGTCACCGTCAGTGTGGACCGGGACCGCTTCATGGATGAGTTCTTTGAGCAGGTGAGGGGTTTGTTTCCCTAGTGCAGCTTTAAAGCCCATTCAGACCTGTCTCAGCACTGGAGCAGGCTGAAGGGCTGTGGTACGGGCTTCCACCACAGGTGAGGGTGGAGGTCCTGCCCTGGCTGATGCCGCTGGTGCTTGGGGTCCTCGGGGGTTACACTCAGAGTGCTCGTTAGCAGGAAGAAGGCTTCCAAGCAGACTGTTGTGGGCCTACCTGGCCCTATGGATGCTTTGCTGTGCCGCCTCCTCCACCAGAAACGGAGTGGGTGAGCCTTGCAGCCTGCCTGCTTCCAGCCTGCCACTAAAGCGGACCAGCTCTCAAACCTCTCCTGAAAGCACCTCTGCAGAGTAGCAGTTTCTGCATGGGATTGATTTAATTTTGTGCCTCTCGTTACCAAACAAGAGGTTGTCTTCTGGCATGTGGGTGGCTGTAAGATCTGCATGTGGATTTTTAGCACACCCTTAGCATGGCATGTGTGTAGGGGGTGTTAAAATGTGTCTGAGCAGGCAATGGAGTGGGGAAGGAAAAAAATCTGATGTGCAGATGGAGGAAGATGAGCAAAGTGGTGGTGTGAGTTGAAGGAGAAGACAGAGCTAGAGGGTGGGCAGCCCAGCAGGCAGAGGACACAAGTAGAGGTTCCCCCTCTTGGCTATACTGGCACGTCTCCTTGTAGTACAGGAGTGCAAGGAACATGCCAGTGTGGATTTGCTGCAAATTTGGCTTCCCTGGTGTATGCGTGAGGGTCAAAGTGGGCTTCTGAGCCCCTGCAGCAAAGAGCCATGGGGACTGAGCGAGGACCAAGCCTGGCTTCAGCAACCTCAGCAATATTCTCAGATCTGATGCTAATTCAAATAAATCCCAAATGTTTCTCAGTGCATCACAAAGGATACAGGACATAGTGTTTGTATTACATTCCTGTGACTGCAAAGCTGACTGCTGTGACGTGGAAGGTTTGATTTCACAGCGGTCCTGCAGTTTGAGGATCCAGCTGGAAAACATTTGTCCAGGAGGACATTTGCTGTGGTTCAGATGTGTCATGGTTGCTTTGGGATAGGGTTTAATAATCCCTCCCCTTTCCAAAAGTCCAGGCCTCTCACAGGAGACTTGTCTTGTTGTCCATCCCCACAGGTGGAAGAAATTCGAGGGTTCATCGATAAAATTTCAGAGAACGTGGAGGAAGTGAAGAGGAAGCACAGCGCCATTCTTGCTTCGCCCAACCCTGATGAGAGTGAGTGAGCCGTGATCTGCTTGCGTCCCCACAGGCACCTGGCTGGGCTGGGCCGCTTGTGGGGTGGACAGCGTCAGACAGAAGTCCTCCTGTCTTCAGGTGGCCATGGCTGGAAAGCCACAAGCTGCTGAGGTGGCTGATGGCCACAGTGAGGGAGGGCTGGGACCTGCATGGGAAGGAGGTGGAGGGATGGCTGATGACTTTCTGACGTTGAGAGGTGGTGAAGGTCCAGTGAGGCTGCTGGAGTGGAATTTCTGAAGGATGGGGCAACGTGGAAGCTGAAAAGAGCAAATGGCTATTTTTATGCAGGTCTTGCCCCAGGCTGCCAGGAAGGGGTGTGTGGATGAGGCAGCACTTGCAGAACAGGCTGAGCATTGCCTGCTTGGCCCAGAAACGGTGCAGCTCTTCTTTTGAGCCCACAGTGTGCACCTGTGACGCTGTCCTCTCTGTCCTGAAGGACATTTTGTTGCTGACTGGCCAAATAGTCTGTCCCTTCTGGACCTTACTGATGTATTGCTGTTTTCTTCCCCAGTCTTGTGTTCCTGAGAAGAGGTTTGTTGCCAGGAACAGAAGTTAAGTATAGCAGCGCCCAAGACGTGGCAACATTTGGGAGTCTGCAGGATCTGGCAGAGTTAGAGCTGTGGGTGATGAGTTCCCATGTCCCCAGGTGCGAGCAGTGCATGTCCCTGGGGAGCTGGAGGATCTGGTACTGGCAGAGCACCTGGGGCTGGTGGGGTCAGCTGGGCTTCCTTAATGCAGGGGCTTTCCAGCTTTGGTGTCTGCAAACCCCTTGTTGGGGAACAGGCGGGACCAAGGTGCTGAGGAAGAGCAGGGGTGAGCACAGCTGAGTAGAGCTGCTTATCGGTGGGGCTGGACACTTGGACAGGCTTACCTGCTGAGAGACATCTTTTGAACATCTTCTGTCCTTCAGTCTTGCTGTAAGCCCATGCGGGCTCTCCTTCGCCCACCTTCCTCATGGTGCTGGTGGTCGCAGGGCTGGTGGTTGCAGGGGTTGACTACACAGGATGGCTCCGAGCTGCTGGCAGCTTTTGTCGTTGGCAAAGGTGTTGCCTTCATGGGCCAGTGGGTGACTGCTTAGGAGCTGAATGCTGCTTGTTCCCTCCAGGCTGCAGTGGCCCTGGCACAAAGGTGTGATTAGGGGGCTGGAAAGCTAAGACTAGGTCTCTGTCTTGCCATCCACCCTCCCCCCATCCACTTCTCTTCATTTGCCCAGTGCAATTCCATGTCTGCTTGTATCCGACTGTGAATTGTTTCTAGAGGTCCCAGGAGGTTGTCTGTACGCACATTTTCTGGTGTCCAGCCCTATGTCAAATCAGCACATACTGCTAATTGTTTGGAAGAACTTGGTTCTTCCTAAATTTTCTCACACTCACCTCTCCTGGCAGCTGCTCCTCAGCTCAAATTAACTTGGCCGAGCCTGGAAGTGAGGGATTTTCTCAAGGGAATTCACGTGTCTCAGACTGTTGCTCAGTCATCCCCTAGGCTCTTTTGGTCTGTGCTTGCACTGTAAGATTTTGCAGTGTTTCTGTTTGGGTGTTTTCAGGGAAGAGCTGTCATTGCTTTGCTTCTGGCTGCTGGGCTCATACAGCATGCATCAGCACGGTGTCCGCTCGGGGCTGAGCCAGAGCTCAGGCTGCAAAGGGCACTCGTGGCCTAAAAGCATAATAATCTATTTAAAAGTCAGATCTGTAGAGAACAAGATACTGTGACATTGATGTGACTTCCAGAAGCATCCAGGACGTTGGGAGTGCTTCTGGTTATGTATTACAGTGTTACCTTGGTGTTGTAGAAAATTCAGTGTATAATGCCAAAAACTGATTGGGCAGCAAAAGAAGAGTACACACCTTGTTGAGAAATTAGTGCTTTGTAATATTGTGGTGTGTCCAGGAGGTGCATTGGGGCTGATCAAGTACTCAATGGTAGATAGACTCACGGAATTGCAGAGTGGTTTGGGTTGGAAGGGACCCTCAAAGATCACCCAGTCCAACCCCCTGGTTGGCCTCCTCTGGCCCGTCTCTCCCAGGTCCACATCTGCCTTGTGCTGGGGACCCCAGGGCTGGAGGCGGCACTGCAGGGGGATGTGAGGAGAGCAGAGCAGAGGGGGAGCATCCCCTCCCTCTCCCTGTTGGACACGCTGCTGGAGATGCAGCCCAGCAGACACTTGGCTTTGCGGGCTGCGAGTGCACATTGCTGTCTGATATCCCATTTGTCACCCACCAGTCCTTCTCCACAGGGTGCTCTCCATCCCTCCCTCCCTCCCTCCCTCCCCCAGTCTGTGCTGGTACTGGGGGTTTCCCCGACCCAGGTGCAGGACCTTGCACTTGGCCTGGTTGAACTTCCCAAGGTTCGCGTGGGCCCACTCCTCACAGATGCATTGCCACAAATCGGCAAGAGCTGCTTCACTACAACTGACCCCTCTCAGCTGGGTGGATGCCGGGTATTATCTCAGACCAGCCTCCAGCTCCCCCAGGCTGCTTTGTGCTGGGACTGCAGGTGGTGTGGTGTCAGCTCAGCTGTGTTCCTGTGGCAGCACCCCATGTGCCAGCATTGCTGGGGCAGGACGTTCACCCCCTCTGAGCGCTGCTCCCTTCTGTCCCTCGGTACCTGGGGGTGGGGTGTTGGAAATGATCCTCAGTGTCCTCAGGACAGGAGACAATGTTGGGCATAGCTGCAGGGATCTGCTTAGATGATCTAGAGAGGCATTAAACTCATGTTGACTTGTAAGAGCAGGCCATGTGCTGTCTTATGGGACCGTGGGTCAGCTCTTGGGATAACTCAGGGATGGACTGGGTGATCTTTAAAGGTCCAATCCACCCCAAACCATTCTGTGATAACTGATGATAACTCACTTGTAGCTTTTCCATTTCCCAGAGACTCAGCCAGACAGAGAGCAGCATCACTCCGTGTCCATCTGCTCCTTCAACCCCTGGTTGAGATGCACGAACTGTGGCAGAAGTTCAACCAATGATGGCATTAACCTCCACGTTAACCTTGGCTGAAGCTCAGTACTGTGCTTTGGTGGAATGGAGGCAGTGCAGGGCCCCATAGTGGTGAAGGCAGTGAAGTGGGGAATGGTGGGTGCTGGCCCAGTGCTTGGCAGCCCCCACTCCGCCTCCCTGTGCTCCTGTGCCCGTGGAGAACCTGGTAATTAATGCAAAGGCTTGTAACCCAGGGAAGTGAATTTACTGAGCTTAGTTTGGAAATTAAGAAGCAATGTTTCCAAGAGGCATAAGAGGGGGATGCAGCCAAGGGGCACTAAAATGGAGGTGGTGAAAGACTGGTCTTGGTGTGTGCTGACTAGTGTTTGCTTTTTAACATGGCAAGTGAGTGACACCTGTGATGACAGTCAAGGCAAGACGTTGCTCTATGCTGGGGCCAAACTCACAGGGGATTTGGGGTGCTGCTTGTCCCTTCTGGAACAGAACCTCAGTTATTTCTTAGTGGTCTCTAAGCACTTTAGCATCATGTGAAACCCCCACTACAAAGGTAGTCAGCCTCCAGGATATCAGAAGAAAGACATAGACTCCTCATTCTTGTCAGGAGGCAAATGTGCTGTGCATAGCGCAGCTCAGTTTGGTGTGGTGCAGTTCCTCCTTCAAGAGATACAAACTCCTTAAACACCACTAGCAAGTCCCTCGTAGAGCTGGAGGACCTTGGAGTGGGGCTTCAGAAGATCAAGACAGACCTGGCCTGGTAATTTGGGACATGGATGAACCATGGTTGGAGTTGCCATTTGAGCACTGAGAGGAGGGAAGGAGGGAGGGATGGATGGATGGACGTACAGTGTCTGGCTGAGTTGGCTGAACTGGCTGAATTGCTTGCTGCTTTTTCAGGGTCTCTTGATAAAAGAGAGAGACTCCACAGGTACAATCCTACTGGAACCCTGTGTCTTATATGACTGTTTGCTCAGGCAGATCGAGTCCTTGGTGCTCTCCTGCACGTACTCTGCTGTTGCAGGAGAAGGTGAGGTCCAGGTGTCTATGGGAGACCTGGATTTACCTACCTGCTTGGCGTGGGGTGGAGGTGTTGGGCTGGATCTGTGTCGCACAGAGGGGCTTATCCCTCCCCTCCCTTCCTGCTTATCCCTCTTCTTGCTGCACAGGCTGTTCTCAGATCCACGTTGCTGCTGCTGCCTGGGCTTATTTTGGCACCGGTGGGTGGGCAGCTGGCTGGCTTTGCCGTCGTGCCGGCAGGGTGGCAGCCCCCTGCCTGCCTGCACCTTGCAGCTCCGGCGGGCTGGTGCCCATTTGCAGGTGGACGGGAAGGGTCTCCCCACTGAGCAGCTCCACACCACAGGGTGGGCAGCATTATGTCAGGACATGGGTGGGCTCAGAGCGGCTGAGGGGCTGTATTCGTCCTCGGGTCAGAGCCATTGCTGCTACTAACTCCTTATTTGAGTCACAGCTCCTGGTAAACCTGTTCCTAAAATCCTTCCCGGTGAGCTGCTGCATCTGTTGTCGCTCCTGGTGCTTGAAGCAGGTTGTTTGTCCTTGGTCCTTTCTCTGAGCCACTTCCCAGAGGAGGTGGCTTTGACTGGAAAGTTGCCAATCAGGAATGAAATGATGTGCGGTTTGTTGTTTTGTTTTGTTTGGGTTTTTTTTTTTTCCTGGAGAGGTCGGGAAGGACTTAGTCTGTGCCATTCGTCTTCTCCGTGCATCGCGTCCCGTCCCCGTCCCCCCCCGCGGCCACGCTCTGCCACTCCTCGGCACTGCATCATGTAATGGATGCTGTTCCTGAATGAATTGCCCCTGGGAACATAAATCCTCACATATGAAGTCATGTCTTTCAGCTTCTGAGCTCAGTCCATCTCTGCAGGCTTCGGAAGACCCAGTAAATATTTCAGACTTGAAAGCAGGCCCATTATGGCTCTACTCTCTATGAACTTCCTCTATGAGGCGGTTCAGTTGTGTGTATGCTTGTTTCATAATTAAAGCTGTGCAGACTCGTGGTGGTGGCTTTGGACACCAGCGCACAGGTCC